GACAACATAACTCTAAAAAGATGTGACACCCTCTGGAGGAGGACATGAACAGTCTCTACTGGGGAAAGTAACTAGGGTCTCGATCTAGTTTCTATTGCAAAATGTCATCATCCAGAATTCTTTCCAATAACACATCAGCCCCTTTGAAATTACCTTACACATTTTTTTTTAATTATACTTTAAGTTCTGTGGCACGTGTACAGATTGTGCAGGGTTGTTACATAGGTAGACACATGCCATGGTGATTTGCTGCATCCATGCCCCCATCACCTACATTAGGTATTTCTCCTAATGTTATCCCTCCCCAATCCCCCTACCCACTGCTATCCCTCCCCTAACCCCCCATCCGCCAACAGGCCCCAGTGTGTGATGTTCCCCTCCCTGTGTCCATGTGTTCTCATTGTTCAACACCCACTTATGAGTGAGAACATGTGGTGTTTGGTTTATTGTTCTTGTGTTAGTTTGCTAAGAATGATGGTTTCCAGTTTCATCCATGTCCCTGCAAAGGACATGAACTCAGCCTTTTTTAAGGCTGCATAATATTCCATGGTGTATTTATGCCATATTTTTTTTATCCAGTCATCATTGATGGGCATTTGGGTTGGTTCTAGGTCCTTGAGGAATCGCCACACTGTCTTCCATAATAGTTGAACTAATTTACACTCCCACCAACAGTGTAAAATTGTTCCTATTTCTCCACAACCACTCCAGCATCTGCTGTCTCCAGATTTTTTAATGATCACCATTTTAACTGGCGTGAAAAGCTTAAAAGCTTCTGCACAGCAAAAGAAACGATCATTAGACTGAACGAGCAACCAACAGAATGGGAAAATGTTTTTGCAATCTACCCATCTCACAGAGGGCTAGTATCCAGAATCTACAAAGAACTAAAACAAAATTACAAGAAAAAAGCAAACCACCCCATCAAAAAGTGGGTGAAGGATATGAACAGGTACCTCACACATTTTTTTAAAGATGCTGTTTGCTTACTGTCTGTTTTTTCCTTTCCACTCTCTCATCCTGTTGTTTCTATATTTGATACAAATATTTAAATTAACCATGGCAGCAGAAGGATGGTATGCATTAGGGTTTCTGTTGAACTTGGCCTTGATGCCCAGGGCTCAGGTGCAGGTCTCTCCAACAGCAAGGCAGACGCCTGTTAGCCAGTGATTTTTTTTCTTAGAAAAATAATACAAGAACTTCTGGTTAAAGATGGCAAAATGAAAGTGATGTAGCTCCACTTTTTTCTCTGAAACCCACAGTCCTCCTTCTTTGATGAAATGAGAAAGCAGTTTCAATCCTGAGCTGTAGTTGGTTTTGAAGATAAGGACAGGAGGGCAACAGGGAAGCCCATTGGGAAGGGTTAAGGTGCAGCTCAAGTGAAAACAACAGAGGTGAAAGCTGCAAGCGCAGAGCCTGGCACATAGTAGGTGCTCCATGGCCCTTATTCATGAAGGAGGCTTGTTTTCTTCAAGCAGAGGAGCTGCTAGCTTGAGCCAGGCTAGGAGGAAACGTATGGAGAAGAGCCAGCATGAGTGAGGGCCACTGCCAGGAAAGGTGCCTCTTTCTCTCTCTCTCTGTCTCTCTCTCTCTCTCTCTCTCTCTCTCACACACACACACACACACACACACCAAAACGCACACACATACACATGAAAGCACACATACACAAACACAAACATACACACAATACACACACACAAACATACAACACCACACACCAACACATACAAACGGAAACACACATATACACAAACATAGATACACACATGTACGCACAAATACATACACATACACATATACATACACAGAAACACATATATGCAACACATATACATATACGCAAACACACATACATATACGCAAACACACAGAAACACATACACAAACATATATACATGGAAACACAGACACACATAAACACACACACTTTCTCCATGAGAAGGGGCAGAATTGAGGTCAAAGCCATGGAATGAGATCCTGGGGCAGAACCAGCCACGAGTCAGCCAGTGGGAGGGGTCAGGAGATCTGGAGGGTGTGTGGTTGGTGTCCTCATCCCCAGCCTGCAGCCCAAACCTTCTGCCTGGTACCCAACCTGAGGCTGGAGAGAGGGTGTGGCTGAGCTTCAGCCCTAACAAAGGCTGAACTTCTTTGCTGGCCACAACTGTGGCCCATGGGAGACTCTCATTTGTAGACCAAAAGGTCTGGCCCTGTCCGCACAGCGATTATCTTGATATGTAAACTTGAGCAAGTTACTCTCCCTCTTCAGTTCTGAATTTTCCCTTCTGTAAAATGGGAATAGCCACATTGCCTTGTCTTCCTCCAAGGACATGGTTGTGTGGCTCTGCTGAACCATGAACAATAGGAAATTGCTTTGTGACTTGCCCAAAACATTAGTCACTGTGTTTATTAGCGTCATCATCATTATTGTTCCTCAATCCACATGCCAACTGTCCCCCACCCTCTCTCTCCTCTTGCCCTCTGGAATGAGCTGAGCTGACAGTGGAAGGCTCCCCAGCACTCACACAAGTCCCTCCCTGACTTCTCTTTCTCCTCCAAGACCCTCCGCCTTTTGCCAGCTGTATTGAGTCAAGCGAAGGTCCCTGCTTTCACCCCAAATATTCTCCCTATTACTGACCACCCTGATGAAGTGGGAGCCCATCAAGGGGCTCACTGATGGTTTGAGGCACATCTCATGCCCTCTCTGACCTCAGCTGCCTCATTTGTAGAAGGAAAGTGTTGATGCAAACCTCACAGTGTTGGCGTGAGCACTACACAGGATCATGTAGGATAAAGAGCCCATTTCAGGCCGGATGTAGTGACTCATATTCATGCCTATAATCCCAGTGCTTTGGGAGGCTGAGGTGGGATGATCGCTTGAGCCCAGGAGTTTCAGGCCATCCAGGACAGCAGAGTGAGATCTCATTTCTACAAAAAATGAAAAAATTAGCTGGGTGTGGTGGCATGCATCTGTAGTCCTAGCTACTCAGAAGGCTAAGGTGGGAAGATCACTTGAGCCTGCGAGAGCAAGGCTTCAGTGAACTGTGATTGTGCCACTGCACTCCAGCCCGGGTGACAGAGCCAGACCCTGTCTCCAAAAAAAAGTTGGGGGGGGATGGGTAGGGTGCAGGTGGGGGCTGGACAATAGGCTCTGAGAAGCATGTCATTGTATTTGTCTGTATAGTATAAAATAACTAAACTATCCAGATATCCATTATTAAGAAATAATCAAAAGAAATACAACACAAACATAGAGTAGAATATTATGCAGCTCTTACAAAGAACAAAGGAAGGCATGGTCAGAGTTCTTGGATGCAAGCAATAGACATGCCATGCCTGGCTGATAGCAGAAAGACCACTTCACAACTCCAGGGTGTACAATCCACACTGGGCTCCATGTAAATACCTGCCTCCTGCTATGTTTTTTGAAACTGTACAACTTGGAAACTTTCCAAAGATATCAAGGAGTTTATAGAAATAATGATCAGAAACCAAGAAAGTCAGCCAAGGTCACCGGCAAGAATCATCTGGTCAGGATTTTGTCAGTGGCGCTCAACATCACCCCCATCATAAATGACTTTCCAACTGTTTCTGCACCTTTGACTTATTCTTTCAAGACTATCCACAAAGAAAAGGCATAGAATAATGAAACCTCAGCCATGCATTTTATCTATTAACAAACACTCATGTTTGTATATACTGAATGCCGGGCTCTGTTCTAAGAATGTTAAGTGGATGGTCTGATTGCTTTATCTGAATAAGTTTAATCCTCACAA